TCAGGGTCAGGGTTATACTCATTGTTAATAAAAATAAGTTTGACATTTATTCTAATGATCTTTTCGAACACTAGCATGGTTAAATGTCATTTATGTGTACTTTCAAATGTAATTCTTTCATTTTTTTAAAACTGTGCTTCAATGCAAAGTACAAAAGAAGAAAAGTACCATATACCATTAGAAACTGGTTCTTATTCCTGAAAAAATAAATACAAGAACCATTCGGGTAACATTTATTTGCGATCTAGTATTTATTTGATTCCCTCCTTGTATGCTAGAAAGATGCGAAGACAAACACTTCCAACTATTCAGACAGATCATTCCACAGTTGTAACTTTCATCATAGTTCTCAAAGCAGTCCAGTGAGGTCAGCTCACAAACAGCTTAAGGAGTAAAACTAGAAATTGGTGGTAGTAGTATCAGGCTACATAACAGCCTCTCCAAAGAATATGAAGTAACAGAAGGAAAATGTGCTGGCAACATGCCAAGAGACTAGATGGAATATAGCTTTGAGCAACAAATACCCAGAGCTTACGGTGTAGAGCGATTCATCATCTCTTACTCTACCAGCTTGATTTTCCTTGTTTTAAATCCAAAATAGCCATATATAACAGGTATTTAACTCTACTAAATTCTCCATATTTGTGACTTGAAAGGCACAGGGCTTGCAATGATTCGGTAAACTAAATACATACCCTAAAAAGAAAAATGACTTTCATCCTATGTGAAGATGAGAAAGGTAAAACAGAGACAATTATATTGATATTGTTCTGCATAGAATAGCCTTTATTCTCCAAGGGCTATATTGCCCTCAGTTTAGTTTCAAAGGCTTGGATTTTTCTATATTGTCAATTCTGACTCAATATCTCTGCAACTGGTTGGTATTTAGAATTAGTGAACTTTCTCAACAATTTAATAAAGAATTAATCCTGTCAGATCAAATGACATAATTTTGTTAAAAATTCCTCTGACATTAGTCAAAATATGTTACTTTTATAATTTCATCTTTAATGAATCATAATATTAAAACAATAAGAAACTCTAATTCTTAATCTGTCACTTTCTAAACATATATTCTTTCTAAAAAGCCAAAAGAAAATGCAGTTATTTTAGGCAAAAGAATCTTATTCAACTCAAATCAACACACATTTAACATCTAGTTTGTGCCAGACCTTATGCTGGGAACTAAAGAAACAAAGATAAATATGTATGTACATAGTTTCACAGAACTGACAATCTAGTTGGGAAAACTAGCTGGTGTAGCTCAGTGGTTGAGCATCGACCTATGAACCAGGAAGTCACAGTTCAATTCCCAGTTAGGGCATATGCCAGGGTTGCAGGAAGTGGCCAATTAATTATCTTTCTCTCATCACTGATATTTCTCTCTCTCTCTCCCTCTTCCTTCCTCTCTGAAATCAATAAAAATCAATTAGCCCAGCAGGTATGGCTCAATGGTTCAGCAGTCAACCCATGCACCAAGAGGTGGCTGATTCAATTCCCCATCAAGGCACTTACCCAGGGTAGTGGGCTTATTTCTCTCTCATCGATGTTTCTATCGCTCTCTCTCTCTCTCTCTCCCTTCATTGCTCTCTAAAATCAATACAATAGTGAAAACATTTTTTTAAATCAATCAATAAAATAAATCACAATCTCTAACATTCTGTGTATGTGTGTGTTCTAAAGTAGTTATAGGAACAAAGCCCTGGTACCACCCCAGGCCAGAAAGGAAAAAATCTTCAGAAAATCTAAGTTATATCTTAAAGGATAAGGATTTCACAAGGGAAAGTCGAGTATCGCAGGCCAAGGACAGAATGAGCAAAAACAAGAAATCACAAAACATGGCATGTGTGAGGAAGCCCATGTGGCAAGACTAAGAATAACAGTTTCTGATTCATATGCTACTACATGACAGGCATCACTAATCAATTAAAACATGTTTAAAGTCTATATGAGACTCAAACTCCTTCTCAACAGATAAACCAAAACCAATGGAAGGAATGAAGTCCCTGTGATGAAATTTACGAGCTATCCTGAGCCTAGGAATAGAAAATGGTGGGACTTGAGACTAGAAGGATAAATAAGAACAGATTATGAATGACTATGATGCTAGGCTAAGGAGTTTAAATTTTATCCATGGACAAGAGAGGATGAACAAAGGATTTTATGAAGAATACTGGCGTGATCAATCTGGCAGATGTGTAAACAACGCATTTGGACAGATAGAAGAAAGGCATAAAGAACAGTTAATATGCTATTGCAATCGTCTAGAAAAGATTAATGAGGCCTGAATTTCAGCGATGGCAAAAATCTACTGCAGGTTTTAAAACAAAACAAAAAAATTAGAGTGTTTTAGATTTTGGAATCCATGATTTCAAAACAATTTGAGAAAAATTAGTATTCTATTCAGAATTCCCAAATAATACCCAAAAAGGAAAAGATAAGACAACGTAAGGTAAAAACTAGAATTAAAGAAATTAATCACAATGATACTCAAGATTACCCAAGACTATAAATTCAGAAATAGATATTTCAGGTTTAGCATCAAGAAAGAGAACGTCCTCATGACCAGACTAATACTCAGCAAGTCTTTTCTTCCTGAGGGCACTAATATTCTAGCCAACCAACAAACACTAGTCACCTTACATGCCCCTACAATGCAGGGTCAAATGCACACTCCCAGTGAGATGCAGAAAGCATGAAAGTCAAATTTAAAACCAATGTCTGAAACCATATAGGAGTTCCACTTTATCCAAACATTTGAAACTACATATTTCTTTTTAAAAGCATAAATAATATAAAACAAATCTTCTGGAAATATTACTGTCCTACCATTAACTAATTCATATCCCAACCTTTAAACTCTAAGATTTTTTAAAAATATATTTTATTGATTTTATTACAGAGAAAGGGAGAGGGATAGAGAGCTAGAAATGTCAATGAGAGAGAAATATCGACCAGCTGCCTCCTGCTCAACCCCTACTAGGGATGTGCCTGCAACCAAATGTGCATGCCCTTGACCAGAATCGAACCTGGGACCCTTCAGCCCACAGACCGACGCTCTATCCACTGAGCCAAACCAGTTTCGGCAAACTCTAAGATTCTTTATGTGGAATGCAATCTATTTGTAGCACTTTGGGCAGTATGCAAAAAAAAAAAAAAAAAAAAAAAAAGCAACACTCTTATATTACTTCTGCAAAATGTTTAATAAATGAAATTATCCTAATTAAAAATAAAGCTTCATTGTAACTCAAAGGCCAAAGATAGTCAAAGAGTTTTTCTATTTTGGAAAAAGATTCTTTAGCTGTTGCAAACAGGCTAATGCAGTGATGTGAAATCCAAGGACAACATGTTAACAACCATGCTAGAAAAGCTAGCATTACTGTTTTAAGATCTAAGGATATTCACATTAAGGATAAAATTATCCTGTCATGAATGCCAACAATTCACTTCATACTACATAGACACATATTCAAGGACACTACTTTATTCTCAACCCAATTCTTTTGTGTCCCAATAATAAACTCTCAAATTGGGATTCTCTTCCTCTTAAAACAAGCTAAAATGACAAATATCAACTCCGGAGACAAAATTTATTTGTGACATATTATTTATTCTGATCAAGCAAATCTAATGAACAGTTTATCATAATCTTTCTCTTTTCCAGAAAGATATGGATTAGCTAGTCAGGAGCAGAGTCTACTTCTCATGATGTCATTCCAAAGCCACTGCTAAATGTTACACACGTTATGCTTCCTTCAAATCAATCACAAAATAAGTCATCCCAAGACTGAGGTCAAATTCCATTCCAACTAAAAGCTCTCCAAACTTAAAGTAATGGTCCACTTACTAAGTAATAGTCAAGACTAAATTCCAGAAAGCCCTCCTCCTGTATCCCAACCCCCCCCAAACCAGTCCTCTCCTTTTAGCTCATTGTAATGGAATGTGACCTGCAGTTAAGGTCCATTCCACAACAATTTCCATTCCTTACTTATTGCTCAGAGAACAGATCTACTCTCTCTCATAAAGATAATATTTGTTTTAAAAGAAAAAAGTGAAGTGCTATTAGATGTCAATCACATAACAATAAGAACAAACAAAACATAAATTGTTTACTAGATTTCTCATGTATGACAAAACAAGTGCATATAATAACAACTGAATATTTAACTTAATATTTTTATTTTAGGACACTGGTCAGACATCTAAAAGATGATTTGCATGACTCCTCACAACTTAGATAGGGGAGGGGAAGTTAAAACTACAATTACTTAAATAAATCTTCACACACAAAAATACTATGAACATCTTTTCATGACAAATCATATTTTTATCAATGAAGTTACACACTTTTAAGCATCCAATGTAGAGAGAGGAGGGAAATATTTCAGAAATGTACTTCAAAGTCTAAAATTAAACACATCTGGCCCCATTTCTCCCTTCCCTCTCCCAGGCACAGTAGCTTTACCTTTCTCTCCTAAGCATCAAGAGCCTTTCTTCTGCCTCTGTATCTTGTTTCCTCAGCCCATTTCTCCTACAGCTCACTTCTCTACCTCTATGATTTTCTAAATAAACTTCCTCTTTTTCTTTTTTTAATATATTTTATTGATTTTTCCCAGAGAGGAAGGGAGAGGGATAGAGAATTAAAAACATCAATGAGAGAGAAACATCGACCAGCTGCCTCCTGCACACCCCCTATCGGGGATGTGCCCGCAACCAATGTACATGCCCTTGACCGGAATCGAACCTGGGACCCTTCAGTCCTCAGACCAACACTCTATCCACTGAGCCAAACCAGTTTTGGCAATAAACTTACTCTTACAATTTGAAGGGGGAAAAATTAAATTCAACACATCTATCTGGGATTCAGTTTCTCATTTTTTAAAAATAAGGTATTAGAGCTACTGTGAAACTTTAACCTGTTTTAAAATGAACAACTTTTATGATTTATTTCAGACAAAACACATCCCAAGATGATCCCCTTAAGGATATATTTTACTTACATTCTTCCTACACCTTCATACATGTTAGTCTCGTCTACCAAAGTCATAATCTCTGTATCTGTAAGATGGGCATGCTTTTTCGTTCTGTTTAGCTGTTCAATCTGTATGTCTGCAAGCTTCACCTTCTGTTGAGTGTCAATAACTTTCGCTTGAAGCTCTGTGAAGGCCTAATAAAAACAAGTCCTTGATTTAGTAAGCGAAATATTTTATAGGAAACATTTAAGTCAAATCCAAATATGTTCAAATAAAGCATGCTAACCAGAGGCAGAGCTGTGAAATTTACTAAACCAAACAGCAATAAAAGTTAGTATAATTGTAATCAGTCAAGTCACCAGGTTAATTACTGAATTTACCCTGTCCTCAGAATATGGAATTTTTTTGAAGAAGCAGAAATAAATGCACATTAAATAGTAGCCATACCAAGTAGTAGGTGCTCTCAAGGAGTAATAAATGTAAAAGTCAGAGGATGAAACCCCGAGATCCAAAACAAGAACCATAAATGGAACAACTCCCTACATTTGTATTACTCAACTACGTTTCAAAGCACTTTCCCACATTTGTTTCAAATATTAATATAGGTATATTAATAAAATGAGAACAATGAGGGATATTAATAAATACCTCATTTACTCCTCTCAAATCCTATGAGTAGGGTGGCAGTTTCATTCTAACAGTTTATAAATTAAGTAAATGTAACAGTTAAGTGGCTTGCAAAGGATTGAACAACTATCTGGAGGAAAGGCAGGAAAGTTTCAAAACAAGAAACTTTCTTAAATCCATTTCTTCTGACCTCCAGTTCAGGAATTTTTTTATTCTATTATCTACAGTAATTTCCCGAATATAAATATTTTTAAGAGAAAGAAAAAAATACATTGGTATTAGAATTGCATCATGATCTTCATATGCATAGACCAAGCCAAATTTGACCCTTATGTACACTTCACTCAAAGATAAACACAGTTCATGAATACTCTTGTTGAAGTGCCTGGAATGATTGTCACAAGCTGTCAAACTTATGCCTTAATAATAACATTTGTGACTGCGATATATTGCAAAGACTACTACTTAGCTTTTATTCTGACTTGATTCTCACCTATTAGAAAGATTTCAAAATATTTATTTGGGAGGAAAAGGGGAGCCTGAAATTTCCTATTAGTCTCCAGGCAATAATAATAATAATTTATATTAGAAGTAAAAAATTTTAAACGTGTCTTTAGTTAATTTAATTGATTGTCAAAACTATCCAACCTAAGGCTGAAATCATTTTCTTAGTTTGCATTCATTGCCCACAGGTTTCTTAGCAACAAATTCAAATACTGGGAGGTGAGTTATTCACAGCTGTATGCTATTGCTAGCTCTTTTACTAAACCCTGGCTTAAATGTGAATCTTTAACATAATTTTTTAAAAAAAGATAAACTTTGAGGATGCTTTAAGCATTCTTAAAATGAATTCTGTTTTGCATTCAAAATTACAGGTATTACCTGATTGGTACACAGTTTGCTAAGGAAACTAATATATTGTTAAAACTGAGATACTACAGCATAAGAGAATACCACCTAAAAGTTTCAAAACAAGAATAACAAAAAGATACACACATAAATCCTCACAGCAGTAACAATTTCAATGTTTAGGATCTACAGCTATTTCAGCTGTCCTATTGCTTATGCACAGACTGACCAGAAGGCAGTCTTAAGTAAAATTTGTTTTTTTCTCAAGAACCTTAATAGCCAAAAGGTGTGGAGTAAGGCAGGGGATACTGGATTTGAGTCCCAACCTTTCTGGAACTCCGTTTTCTTTTCTAGAAAAGGACAGGTTTAAAGTAGATGAAGCCTAGGATTCTTTTCAATCCCCATCCCCCTCCTACACTCCTCCCATCCCCCCAAAAAATATGGTATGATTTGGGATCAGTAGAGATGTTAGAATCCTGACAACTGGCGGTGAAAACGTTTCTGAATGGCAATACATTTATAAGCAATTGAAGAGGTAAACCTAATTTCTTCCGATATCAATTTTATTTAGAAAACCTCACGGGACTTCTTCCTTCGACAGCTCCTGCAAAAACGGCGGGGGGAGGGGAGCCAAAGCCCTGAGATGAGCATGGCCATGAGCATACCTGACTCTGAACCTTCCCACGTTTGGGGTGGAATAAGAGGCCTAACAGCACAGGCCGGAACAAGGGACGACAGGACAAGCCAGTTATCCGCCGCCCAGACTTAACCAAACCCAGCCCAGCCGCCTCTTCTCCAGCAAAAGCCGCTCGCCCCCCACGCCAACCCAACGAGACCCGCTCGTGAGGATCCTGGGGTATCGCCCCCCAGGTCCCCGGGGCCTCTTTCCTCCCGCAAGACTCAAGTCTCCTCCATATTCTTGTCCACAGTTCCCTTAGCTACCAAAGAGAAGCCTCAGCCAGCTCAAGACGCTTTTTTACCTTCTTCAGCTCTAGGTCCACGGGCGCCGCCATCTTGGCTCACTCTCTGCGCCTGCGCGGTGGCGAAAGCCGGAAGGTGTGGGGGGAAGGGCGCGCCTCGGAGGGTTGAGTAGTTCCCTCCTTCCTTCTGCGCCTGCGCTACAGGAGCGGGGTTGGGGGGGGTGGGGGGAGTAGGCGGACTTCTTCCTTTCTTCCCAGATTGTGGTTCAGTCTGCGTACCCCATGTGACCTACCAGGCCTGGCCTACTTCTCCACATCCTTCCAGACACAACACCACATGCAGGTTTCGTGTATGGTGCTAAGCATTTTAGCAAATGGCTTAGTTTGCGCTACTAAGTTGAGATGAATGTAGATCAGGCGAAACCTTTTCAGTCATTCAGCTGTCAGGGATGAGAAGAAAAAAAAAAAAAGTCAGCCTGAGCCTCAGGTATGCCAATTTGGAGAAAACCGGAATGCTACCGGAGTGTTCTTCTGGAGAAGTTATTTCTCCGGACCTCTCCCGAAGACCTTTTGGCACAATGGTTCTCAAGAGAGGCCAAATAAGTTTGTTTAAGTAGATATACATATTCATTCCCTGGTCCTTATCCCAAACTTATTTACTTAGAATCTTTGAGTTTGGGGGCCAGAGTCTCACACTTTTGCAAACAGCCTTTATGACCTGATGCAAGTCATCTGCAGACCACCTTTTGAGAATTGGCTGTAAACGGCCAACATTTGAACAAGAAGGATGGATAGAAATTGGACTTTTGAAAATGGAAGAAATGGATATTTTACCTACTCTAAAAACTTATGAGGGAGGGTAAAGGACGGATATTTGGAACCAGCCACATCTGGATTGAAGGTCTGGTCTACCTTAACCATAAGTCTGTCTGGTTCCATTTACTGTGTGGCAGTAGAGTTTTTCTTCTCTTTTAATTTTAGAATAACAGCCAAAACCGGTTTGGCTCAGTGGATAGAGTGTCAGCCTATGGACTGAAAGACCCCAGGTTCGATTCCAGTCAAGGGCATGTACATTGGTTACGGGCACATCCCAAGTGGGGGGGGTGTAGGAGGGAGCTGGTCGATGTTTCTCTCTAATCGATGTTTCTAGCTCTCTATCTCTCTCCTTTCCTCTCTGTAAAAAAAAAAAAATCATTGAAATATATTTTTTAAAATAATAATAATTTTAGAATAATAATATTGACATAACAGGGTTATCACCTGAGGTGTTTTGGCTGTGAAATCTTCCTCTGGGAGCATTTGCTATTCTTTCTTGTGACAGTTGATTTTCTCATATGACCTAAATTTTTGTCTAAAAACCTATCTGCAGTGTCTATCATGTCCTGAGCTGTGTAAACATCCCAAGGTTAGGTTCACATTCACGTCTACCAAAACCCTATGAGATTCATGGTTCCAGACCAGTTCTTACATTAATTTTTGATAACACATGAGTGAAGCATATTTGGGGGAAAATAAAACTTTCTCTGACCATAAAGTTGGCAGAATGTGATATACATTTATGGACTGGAAGCCACTATATTACTTTTTCCATATCTCCTTTTTAAAAATATATTTTTTATTGATTTTTTTTACAGAGAGGAAAGGAGATGGATAGATAGTTAGAAACATCCATCAGCTGCCTCCTGCACACCCCCTACTGGGGATGTGCCCAAAACCAAGGTACATGCCCTTGACCAAAATCGAACCTGGGACCCTTCAGTCCATAGGCCAACACTCTACCCACTGAGCCAAAGTGGTTAGGGCCATATCTCCTTTTCATTTAGGTCTTCAAAATGAAATTATTTCCTTTTTCTCTCTAGAGCTTCTAAAATGGCACAAAAAAAAATTATCTATGAAAGCCTTGCAATAGTACTTGGACACTTGCCTAGAGAATAACCAGAATGTGCTTGCTTCTATTATTTCATAGAAAAAAAAAAAAAAAAAAAACCAGACTTCACACTGAAGGCTTCACTAATGTAGGAATATACTATTTCTCAGGTTTAATAAGCTATGAAAACTTAGAAAGGTGATCTCCTATTATCCCTCAGCTCTGCCTTACCCATGCTCGATACATTTATTTATTCCTTCAACAAATATTTTTTAACATAGGTTAGGCACCCTTCTCCCTTCCCCACAAAAAATAAAATGAAATAAAATAAAATAACATGTGTTGGGCACTGATCTGGACCCTTGGGATATAACAGTAGCAAGAGACAAACTCCCTGACCTCATGGGGCGCATATTCCAGTGGGGAAAGATAACAATAAACATGCAAACAAATATTTTATTTTTTTAATCAATCTTTATTGTTCATATGCAAACAAATATTTTAAATATTAATGTGTTTCTCAGGAAGGAAATAGCAGTGTGGTTAGAGATTGACTGGGTGGAGGCTACTTAGGTGTAGGAAGCTCTCTAGAGGGAGATGAGACCAGAAAAATGAGAATGAGCCAGCTATGCAAAGAACTGGGGAAAGCATCCCAGACACAAGAGGAAAACCCACTGCCTTCAAAAGAAGAAATTGAGCAGGAGAAGCAAGCAGGCGAATCATAAGGAGGCACATGCCGCCAATATGCACTGTACATCCCACAAGCACTGCCTTCTTATTTTACTTCTTTTCGCTGTTTAACTCTGTAAGATGCAAAGAGGTTGGATCAGTTTAAGTGATTGTGCTGCCCCTTTTCACATCACAGCTACTGACAATGAAGGCCGCACCTGCCACTCCCATCTGCCTGGCTGGCTGGCGGGGAAGGGGGAACTTGCATGTTGGTGAAGGAACAAGCTGCAAGGGACAAGGGTGAAATCTAGAGTAAACACCAAGCTGGCCCAAGGGGTCCTGCGGGCTGTACAGTGCAGTTCAATCAGAGTGCCATTTTTTTGTTGTTCAAATGATTTTAATTGTTGGAATGCACAATTCTTAAATATGCAAATAAAAAGTTTTAAAACCTAAAGAAAAAAATAAAGGAAAATAAAGACTCCTAGGTTTTAGACCTGAGCAAACTAGTTGAATGGTAATGTCTTTTACTGAAAGAGAAATTAATTCTTGTTTAAAAATATATTTTATTGATTTTTTTTACAGAGAGGAAGGGAAAGACAAAAACATTGATCATCTGCCTCCTGCACACCCCCCACCGGGGATGTGCACATGCCCTTGACTGGAATCGAACCCTCAGTCCGCAGGCTGACACTCTATCCATTGAGCCAAACTGGTCTTAGCAGAGAAATTAAGTCTTATGATATAGCCTGCGTGCAGTCTCAAGCCACTCTGTAGGAATAATAAGAATAATCCATCCTCCCTATAAATAGACCATATAATTGAGAATATGGGTCAGAGACCCAAAATAGCAATGAATGAAACAATATAGAAGCTTATTTCTCTTTATCACAATGAACCAGGCATAAGCAGTGTAGGGTAAGTATCTCAGTTCCACAATGCCAGAGTTCCCCGCCCCTTCTATCTTATCTATGTGTTCCAAAATGACTCTTCATCGGCATGTCTGCAGCCTAGCTAGAAAGACGGACAAAAGTAAGGGCAAGCTCACTTCTCTTTAAAGGCATGTCCTAGAAGTTGTAATAGTTCTGTTGATATCACATTGGCCCAAAAAGAATCACATGGCCATTCCTGGCTGCAAGAAAGGCTGGGAAATGTAATTTTTATAGGCAACTATGTGTCCAGTTAAACACCAGGAATTCAATTATTATGAAAAGAGAATAGAAAACAGTTATTGTGGGAGAATGCGCAGTTTCTGACGTCACAGCTTTTCAGCTTACAAAGTCATTTGATTTTCAAAACTTTAAAGATAATAGACTCTGAAGCATCATTCATTCAGTTTGAGAGGAAGTTTAGCAGAATGGTTAAGAGTATAAGCTTTGGCCCTAACTGGTTTGGCTTAGTGGATAGAGCTTCAGCTTGCAGACTGAAGGGTTCCAGGTTCCATTCTGGTCAAGGACATGTACCCTGGTTACCGGTACATTCCCAGTGGGGAATATGTAGGAAGCAGCTGATCAATGTTTCTCTCTCATTGTGTTTCTAACTCTCTAACCTCTCCTTTTCTCTCTGTGAAAAAAATTTATAAAATATAATTTAAAAAATTTGTAGAAGCTTTGGAGTCTGACATCCTAGTCAAATCCTATTTCCGCCAAGGATGTCAGGTTCCAAGAAAATTACTTAAATTCTCAGAGCTTCAAATGTAAAATAGACACAATAATAGTACCAATCTCATAGGTTGTTATGAGGCTTAAATGTGATAATGCATGCAAAGTGCCTAATATAGTTGTACCTAATCAACATTATGTGTCAAGTATGGTGAACCTACAGATAAACAAAAGAGCAGTTCACAGTACAGTGGAAGATTCAATAGAGAGTATCAAAGAATATGAAAATTCTGCTAGAGAGGAAGTGACTGCATGAGATTGGAGAACGCAGAGGAGAGGGCTCCTAAATCAAGAGTTTTGTAGGGAAAATGGGAGTTTGTTGGAAGGAAGCGAAAAAGGATATTCCTGGAAGAGAGACAAAAACACCAAGGTGAGAGCCTGGTGTCTCAGGGAAACACATGCTGTTTGGCATGGCTGAAGCACAGAAGCACGTTAACCACTCAGAGAAAGGGATAGAGATAGATGAGGGCCAATGGTGGAGAACCTTCCAGGTCAAGCTTAAGAGATTGGGTTTTATCCTGTGGCCACTGAGTGCAATGAGTGTTGTAAGCAGGAGAGTGACATTTACACTTAGTCACATTTACACTCCAGAAGTTACCGTGGCTGTTTTATGTGAAGTGAACCCCAAAAGGCAAAGGGAAATCAGAATTAGAGCAGTCATCTAGACTCTGAGGGATTAAACCTAAAGTAATGGAAGAAGAGAACCCAGAGATTATCTGCTCTTCAAAATTCCTGTCCTTTTCTCTCTCTCCCTCTCCTTCTCTCTCTCTCTCTCTCTCTCTCTCTCTCTCTCTCTCTCTCTCTCTCTCTCTCTCTCTGTTAATCCTCACCCAAGGATATTTTTTAATTGATTAATATAAACATTTTATATATATTTTTAACTGTTTCAGAGAGGAAGG